TGTTGGGTGTTGGGTGTTGGGTGTTGGGTGTTGGGTGTTGGGTGTTGGGTGTTGGGTGTTGGGTGTTGGGTGTTGTGTGTTGGGTGTTGGGTGTTGGGTGTTGGGTGTTGGGTGTTGGGTGTTGGGTGTTGGGTGTTGGGTGTTGGGTGTTGGGTGTTGGGTGTTGGGTGTTGGGTGTTGGGTGTTGGGTGTTGGGTGTTGGGTGTTGGGTGTTGGGTGTTGGGTGTTGGGTGTTGGGGGTTGGGTGTTGGGTGTTGGGTGTTGGGTGTTGGGTGTTGGGTGTTGGGTGTTGGGTGTTGGGTGTTGGGTGTTGGGTGTTGGGTGTTGGGTGTTGGGTGTTGGGTGTTGGGTGTTGGGTGTTGGGTGTTGGGTGTTGGGTGTTGGGTGTTGGTTGTTGGGTGTTGGGTGTTGGGTGTTGGGTGTTGGGTGTTGGGTGTTGGGTGTTGGGTGTTGGGTGTTGGGTGTTGGGTGTTGGGTGTTGGGTGTTGGGTGTTGGGTGTTGGGTGTTGGGTGTTGGGTGTTGGGTGTTGGGTGTTGGGTGTTGTTGTTGTTGTTGTTGTTGTTGTTGTTGTTGTTGTTGTTGTTGTTGTTGTTGTTGTTGTTGTTGTTGTTGTTGTTGTTGTTGTTGTTGTTGTTGTTGTTGTTGTTGTTGTTGTTGTTGTTTGTGTGGTTGCTGTTGTTGTTGTTGTTGTTGTTGTTGTTGTTGTTGTTGTTGTTGTTGTTGTTGTTGTTGTTGTTGTTGTTGTTGTTGTTGTTGTTGTTGTTGTTGTCGTTGTCGTTGTCGTTGTCGTTGTCGTTGTCGTTGTCGTTGACGTTGTGGTTGTGGTTGTGGTTGTGGTTGTGGTTGTTGTTGTGGTTGTGGTTGTGGTTGTGGTTGTGGTTGTGGTTGCGGTTGTGGTCGTGGTCGCGGTCGTCGTCGTCGTCGTCGTCGTCGTCGTCGTCGTGGTTGTTGGTTGTTTGGTTGTTGGTTGTTGGTTGTTGGTTGTTGGTTGTTGGTTGTTGGTTGTTGGTTGTTGGTTGTTGGTTGTTGGTTGTTGGTTGTTGGTTGTTGCTTGTTGCTTGTTGGTTGTTGGTTGTTGGTTGTTGGTTGTTGGTTGTTGGTTGTTGGTTGTTGGCTGTGTTGGTTGTTGGTTGTTGGTTGTACGCTGTGTTGCTTGTTGGTTGTTGTTTGTTGTTTGTGGTTGTTGGTTGTTTTTTGTTGTTTGTTGTTTGTTGTTTGTCTTTTGTTGTTTGTTGTTTGTTGTTTGTTGTTTGTTGTCTGTTTTTTTTTTGTTTGTTGCTTGTTGCTTGTTGCTTGTTGCTTGTTGTTTGTTGTTTGTTGCTTGTTGTTTGTTGTTTGTTTTTTGGTTTTTTGTTGCTTGTTGCTTGTTGCTGGTTGATTGTTGCTTGTTGCTTGTTGCTTGTTGTTCGTTGCTCGTTGGTTGTTGATTGTTGTTTGTCGTTTGTTGTTTGTTGTTTGTTGTTTGTTGTTTGTTGTTTGATGTTTGTTGTTTGTTGTTGGCTGTTTGTTGTTTGTTGTTTGTTGTTTGCTTTGTGTTGTGTGTTGTGTGTTGTGTGTTGTTTGTTGTGTGTTGTTTGTTGTTTGTTGTTTGTTGTTTGTTGTTTGCTCTTTGTTGTTTGTCGTTGTGGTTGTCGTTGTCGTTGTCGTTGTCGTTGTCGTTGTTGTTGTGGTTGTTGTGGTTGTTGGGGTTGTTGTGGTTGTTGTGGTTGTTGTGGTTGTTGTGGTTGTGGTTGTTGTTGTTGTTGTTGTTGTGGTTGTGTTGTTGTTGTTGTTGTTGTTGTTGTTGTTGTTGTTGTTGTTGTTGTTGTTGTTGTTGTTGTTGTTGTTGTTGTTGTTGTTGTTGTGTTGTTGTGTTGTTGGTTGTGATTGTTGATTGTGGTTGTGGTTGTTGTTGTTGTGTTGTTGTTGTTGTTGTTGTTGTTGTTGTTGGTGTTGGTGTTGTGGTTGTGGTTGTGGTTGTTGTTGTTGTTGTTGTTGTGGTTGTTGTTGTTGTAGTTGTTGTTGTTGTTGTTGTTGTTGTTGTTGTTGTTGTTGTTGTTCTTGTTCTTGTTGGTTGTTGGTTAAAGGTTGTTGGTTAATGGTTGTTGGTTGTTGTTGGTTGTTCTTGTTGTCGTTGTCGTTGTCGTTGTCGTTGTCGTTGTCGTTGTCGTTGTTGTTGGTGGTTGTTGTGGTTTTGGTTGTTGTTGTTGTTGTTGTTGTTGTTGTTGTTGTTTTTTGTTGTTGTTGGTTGTTTTTGGTTGTTGTGGTTGTTGTGGTTGTTGTCGTTGTTGTGGTTGTTGTGGTTGTCGTTGTCGTTGTCGTTGTCGTTGTCATGGTTGTTGTTGTTGTGGTTGTGGGTGGTTGTTGTTGTTGTCGTTGTCGCTGTCGTTGTCGCTGTCGTTGTTGTTGCTGTTGTGGTTGTTGTGGTTGTGGTTGTTGTGGTTGTTGTGGTTGTGGTTGTCGTTGTCGTTGTCGTTGTTGTTGTTGTTGTGGTTGTTGTGGTTGTGGTGTCGTTGTCGT